TACTGCCATTAAGGCCTCAATTCAAATGAATCAAAAAGTTCTCGAGCAATTAATTCCAGGCGAAACAACAACAAAAATCAACGTCGGGCTGTAAAAATTTATGAATGAATAAAGCAGAATCAGGCGAAAAGCGGCCAAAAGGCAAAAAGACAGGCAAAGAAAAAAAGTAATAATAAAAAGGCAAAGAAAAATAAGCAAACAAAACGAAAATCACAAATAGTAAGTGAGTACAAAGTGGCGTGCATATGAAATATAAAACAGGCGATATATCCCACTACAAACGCACATACATATAATACACACACTTATATCTGTGAATATGAATGAATGAAAAATTGTAGAAGCAGCAGAACTACAGCAACAACAAAAAAAAGTTGTTAACGCAGCAGTTCCACGAACCAAAAAAACAAAAACCCAAAAAAAAACCATCGACAACCGCAGAAGACGAAAAAAAAGATCTGTGAACAAGAAATTTGAAAGGTAACAAAAAACTGAAATTAAAACAAAAAACTTTAAATCAGAAACACGAGCAAGTGTGTGTTGGCAACTCGTTTTCCAGTTTTCCATTTTTCCATTTGCAGCAGCTGCCCACAAATTGTGCGTGGAATGGAAGGGGGAGGGGATTGGAAGTGGAGGGGAGTTCAAATTATGAATAAATAAGAAGTTGGTCCAAGAGCGAACAGCTAAAAATCAAAATAAATACACAAAAACAATAAAAACAAAACTGGGATAAAAGATATCTTCGTGTTGTTGAAGGTTAGATACTCTTTCCGGATTTAAGTGCAATATATGTACATATTTAAGATTGTTAACATTTGTATGGAACGTTTTATCTATAAAATGTTTCGATCCCATTTTTGCACCTGAAACGAGCGCTCAAAAATGAAGACGCAAAGTAAGGACATGCCTGTATTAAATCCATCCTAATAGAACCTTCTTTAAATTAAAAGTACTTTGTTGCATACTTTGAGACATATTTCTAAGATGTTTTAGGACCCTAGACTGTAGTCTTGTAGAGATTTTTGTGGAACTCACTTTTACCATTGTTACAAAGTTTTGATCATAATCAGAAAACATCATTTTGAAGTGTATAAAAAGGCAACAACGAATGCAAGCCAAAGTCAGCGGCGCGCCCACGGGCAGAGGAGCAAAAGAAGAAGGAGAAGCTGGAGCAGCGATAAAAGAGGAGCTCCAAAAGACAAAGCCGAAGAAGTAGAGGAAGAAGCCGGTTTGCAGGAACCAGCCTAGAAAGAGGCAAAGAAAGGAGAGGAGGAAGAAAGACGAAGAGAGGGATGCAGCACACGCAAAAAAGGAAGGAAACAAACATCAAGCCCCAATGACAGAGGAAGCAACAACTAATCGTCGAGGGAGAAAGGGAGACAACAGCAACAAGATCCACTCGACGCTGGTTTTTATTCCCATTCCCAATTCCATTTCCATTCCCCCCATTCATCAACTGCATTTAAATTTTTTTTGTTTTTTTTGCTTTTTTTTTGAGAACCAGCTAGTTTTGTTGTTTTTTGTTGAATGACGAGTATGAATGAAAACGAACGTGTTTCTTGGGGAGAGAGACCGAGAGCGCCAAAAAGAGAGGCAGGGAGCACGCTGGGGAGCAGCGACGTCGGCAGCGACGTTGACTGCGCGGGGATGAATGAAATGAGCGCCAAAATGAATGAAAGTTGTGGGGCTCTCGCAGTCGACGTCGCTGCTAACGTCGACGTCAGGCTCTCCCACTCTCTTTCTATTTTTGAGGTGCCCTCTCTCTCTGAGAATTTGAATTTGAATATTTTTTGTACAAATCATAGCGCACATATTTAATAAGCAAAAATTTAATTTGCTTTATTTATTATTTCTTTTTGTTTCTTGTTAATTTCAAAGTATGTATATGATTAATGAGAGATGATTAAGGCATTCGAGTGTGCGTGTGTGACTGTTCGTTTGTGTCTGTGTTGGCATATAATTAAAATAAGGGCAGCCTTTTGCGTACACTAAGAATAAAGATTAAAAAATTTTAAAGAAATTCGTCATTCCATGGCTTTATTTTGTAGATAAACAATTTTAAAACAAACAAATTTACTTTCCAAAAACAAAAGTAATTTTGGTGTAAAGAGATTCATCGAAAAAACAAATTTTTTTCTTTGAAAGTCTAATTAAGAATTTTTATACTGAATATTAAAATAACTTTTTAGTTTAATCAAAGTTTATTTAAATTCCTTAATATTTTATTTTTTAATTACCTAAGCTATAAATATTTATCAAATTCCAGATTAAATTTATGACATGATTTTAAATTTTCGAAGTAAATAAATGAATTTCAAGATTTAAAACCGAATTTAATGCTGAGTGTATCTTTCGTCCACATAATGTAAACTAAATTTACGTGCCTGGCTCTCGATCTTTTTCTGCTTCTTCTGGCCCGCGATGTTCCCCCTTTTTTATGTGATATCCCCATTTTCCATTCAGCATCTGCGCAGTTGTCGCCGTTTTTGCATGTTTTTTCTGTTTTTTCCGACTTTTTGTTTTAGTTTTTGTGATTTTATATTTATTTTTTGTTTCTGTTGCCATTTTATGGCCGCGATCTTCTAGCGACGAGCGAAAAGTTCAGGCTGCCAGTCGTTTTCAGTAAGGGACTCGACCGGGTCCCACATATGTCTATGTACATGCTGATATACATATGTAAGATGGTACATACCACTATATAGGCACAGAAAGGGTGGACCTTCTTAAGGTGAGCTTCCAGACCTTAAAATTTTATTTCACAATAACAGTTTACTTTGATTGTACATATATCCATTTTTTTCCTATATAGCGCCACACTGCGTATAAGTGATAAACTTTTAAAATGTTTTCATGTGTAGTAAAATTAATTGTGTATATTAAGGAAGGTAAATGAATTAGAATTGCAAAATGAGAGACAATCTCGAAAACCATCTGGCAAATTACGATCTTTAATTTAGGTCCACCCTTTCGTACACTACACATTTGTATATTTAGTTGGGCACTGACTTTAGTCTTGGGTTTGCGTTGACATTGAAATTGTTTGCGCTTTGTTGATCTCTACGCAGCGATAAGACATAAATACATAAATACTTTTTACGTTTTCGGGTTCCTTTTCTTTCGGCGACTGCCTCGCTGTTTTGGACCACGGGGAAAAAAACTGAATCCCCGACGATATTTGTATTATTTGTTTTTATAAACATTAAACAGCACTAAAATCGTTTCGATCCCTGTGATTTAGACAGATGGCAGTGCATTGTTTTCGATGTTTACCATGGCTGAGATATAAAGAGATATTCTTATTGACAATTTATACTCTTACACATTTTACTGTAAGGTATTTAGAAGTATTTTATTTTCCAACAATTTTTCTGGGTCAATGTACATATGCTTGTTGGATAAAAAACATTGCTTATAAATACCCATCAAATGTTTTGAAATACTCAACATGTTCATGTTTTTAGTTTGAATATCTTGAAATAAATAGTGATATCAAGTTTGGAGTTTAATTTCAACATCGAGCTCACTTTGTCACCATAGCCAAAAGCTAAGTACTATCCGAAAAAGCCGAGAAATTCCCATTATTAACACATATTTCGTACATTGTTCTCGCTTCGCGAACAACAGGGCAAAAGATGCATAACAAATTACCATAAAACGTTGTCCGATACTTGAAATCTGTTTTTGCCCCACGACTGTGTGTGAAATAATAGATAAAATATACTAGACACATGCCATAAGAAAATCAACAAAAACGGCAGAAGCAGATACAACGATGTTTTGTCACATTACGTATACGAAGAGTTGACAGAGTGAGTGAGTGAGTGAATGACTGACGTATTGCCTGATTGACAGCAGCAGCGGAGGGAAAAGGTAGCGCTGCACATTTTGAGATATATTTATTTCGAGTATTTCAAATGCAAATGTATTCCGCGCGCAGAGATCTCTTATTTTTTTTGGGAGCATTTAAAGGAGCAAATGAATGAATATATGAATGAATGGGTGAGGGAGTGACTGAGTGAATGAATCTGTGTAAGTTCGCTTGGCACTTTGCCGGGGGGTTTTGGGTGGGGAGTTGATCAGGAACGGGGGCTGGGCCCACCGGAAACAAACGACGTGACTTTTCACTGAAATTTGAACATGAATCCAACTATGCAAATGCTTGGGAATTGTGTATATTTCATCGACTTCATTATAATAAATACACACGATATGCTATAACAAACGATCCCACACACTGGCTAAATATCTTTCTTTGGCATTGTTTCTTTTTACTGGGGTTCTTTTTTTAGCAACACGCTTTTGTTGGCTTATCTTATCGCCAAATTATTTGGCTCGTTGTTTTTTTATCGCTCGGCTCAAAAGGCAAAAAATAATAATAAAGTCGCAAAAACAACTAATCATATATTGGTCGGTTGCGACGACTGCGACATATCCTTCTGTTATTTTTTGGTTAACGGATGATTTCTCAATGTCGAGTTAAAATGCTGTTTCAGCTGAATTTAATTTCTTTATATGGTAATATCGTTTATCTAATTAACAACTTTCACATACAAACAAGGTTTTAGTTTTAATTTGATAAGATAGGCACTTAATTTTAATCATATATAGAAACTAATATTTTCTATGAATTTACTCATCCTAATAGGGGTTTCTGAATGAAGTACATATATAAAGAAAGGTAATCTGCCCGACTAATACAAATACGATATATACAAACATCATACATATATTAGTCAAGATAGGGCCATAACGCGCCACAAATATATAATTGTTGAACATTTGCGCTGCAACAACATTTTGCTCTTCAATTATTTCCATTTCTTGGAAATCTGTTATCAGAACTCGCCAGACCTCGAAATGCCATTCAACAAACAAAATATAAAGAGAAAAAAAGTGGTATATAGCAATATGAAACCAATATAGAAACTGGGTAAGCACTGGGCCAAAGTAAACAATCTACAAATTATATTGACATTGCTGTGATGGTTTTTTTTACTCACCCAAAGACGCCTCATGATCTGAAATATCCGATAAACAGCAGCCATGGATCGGCTCCTCCTTTATGAAAATATTTTTGGACTGTAAATGAAATAGAATAGTATTATAGGTTTATAATTATGTTATTCAAAAAATCAAAGAAACATTCCTATGTAAAATAAAAAATACAACATTTTTGAGTTATTATTTTATGTTAAGAATCTTGTTTAAAAAATTTCTAATGATTCATCTTAGATTTATTTCATTTTTAATTGGTTAAATCATCATAATATTTCACAATTTTTGTTTTTCAAATAAACAATCTCATGAGTCATAAATTATGTTTCTCCGAAATTTTAAATGGAATTGTTTTTTTCTTTTTAAATGATAAAACTAAAAAATGAAGCAGAAGTTTGTAGGGATTTTCCTACCGTACAAACTTCTCCTTAATTTCTCAGTTTTATCTTGGGATTTTCCTACGCTACAAACTTCTCCCTAATTTTCAGTTTTATCAGTTAAAAAGAAAACATTAAATCATTTTAAAAATGGTATGGGTTTATTTGATATTTTGTATTACTTAAGTCAAGTCTAGTTGATATTTTATTATAGTTTATTTTAAAAAATTATTCTGAATGTTATTCAAATTTTATTACTATTCCTAAATTACCCATTTATATTTTTTCATAATAGCTTTTTAACTACATTTAAGGTATAAAGTTAATTTTTGTTAAGTAATAATTTAATTTTTTCCCAGATCCTTACTTAGCTTTAATAAACATTTTGAAGAATCATTTGCAGCTGTTAATCTTCCCATTTAGTTGTTAATTAGAAAGCAATATATAAAGCATGATCTATCCATCACTTCTGTTTGTTATTCCTGACCCCGCTTCAATTTGCCTCTTCTGATTTTCCCCCAAGAGGTGTTCCTCGCATCATCCCCACCCTATCTGCACCACAATGAGCCACAGTCAACAAGGCATTCATGATTGTGTTGTACATATTTATAAACAAGCCACTTTTACCCAATTACAAAATGTGTGTGCGCCCCTCGTTTGGGAGAGTGTAACGTAAAACTGAGACTCGGGCATAATCAGAGCAACAATAGCGCAAAGTCGTGGCATAGATTGCCGGCAATTGACAGTGGCTGGCTGCGGACTGCCCCAATGTGGTGGCATGGGTCCCATGGGTCCCGATCATGTTGAACGCGTTCTAATAAATTGAATTGTACGTTTGACTTGCACATAAAACGCCGGCGAGGGGATGGGTCTGCGGGTCCGCTTAATGATAATGGAGGTCACAGTAGTCAAACGAAATGCTCCGTAAATACCGTAATCAATTCCTAAGCGAATCCAGCAGGGGAATTCCAAATTTGAATTGGAACCCAATTTGGGATCTCTACGATCCACAAGTCTTCAGTTACGTGGCCGGCATGGAAACCCAAAACTGGGCTCCTCTTAAGCCAGACACTCTAGATCGGATTACCTGGCTGCATTTTCCAAGCGACTGAGCATGCGCATGTCCTTTTTGGGGTTTTTGGCCAGGGAAACGGGGAAAGGATCAGCTTGGGGTCAGGCTGTTGGCCCCGAAAGACCGGATGAAAGTGGTCAACGGCTCGGCGGGCCAACGGATATGCCTACCGCAGGCGATGTGTCAAATGCCTTCACTCGGGACCTGTCACTGGTCGTCAAGTTCGTCATGGGACACAAAGAATCCAGAAAGAGTGAGAGAATATAAGGAAAGCACTGACATTGATACCGAAGATTTGATTACACCTGGCTTTACCGAGAAAAATTATCAAATAATTCAGAAATATATTTTCATAGACAAATAAGATTTTTATTAATTTACTTTATAGTTTAACTTTTATTATTAGCATAAGGTATTTCTTCAAATATTCAGTTATAATAAATGTTTATAAATTTATTAGTGAGACAGGATAAGCAAGGCTTTGTTACTTTCAGGAAAGGGTTATAATATCCAAATACCTAACGAAAGGCTATTCAAAGAGATTAAAAAAAGGTGTTGTAAGGAAAGGGAACTGCACCCGGGGAAGCCTTATGATCATGGGTCCCATTGTTGGCTGTTTGACTCTTTTTTTTGGTCGGTTACGCATTGAGGTCCCTACTTTTCAAGGCGTATTAACTTATTCCAAATTTTGATCAGGCCTTTTGTCTATCCAGATGCGTCAGAGGCCAAGTGGCACGCTTATGGCTTTTATAGCAAATAAACAAAAGATGAATTACACAAAAGATTCCAAAGGATTGTAGACGAATAAGCTACACCCTCACATCGGAAATTATTTATAATAAGTGACCGATTATTCTCTAATTTTACTTAATTGTAAAGTCTTACCCAAAAGCAGGGTGCTAAAAAATTGCAAATGAAAAGGCAACAAAGCATAATACATAATAATTGCGTTTTGTTTGGTCTACCAAATTTAGAATGCGATTTACGTGATCTGCATTCGCAAGGAGATCGCGCTGTCATTGAGGCTCCAACTGCAGTGGCTGTCAAACTGGCATAGAAACCGATGGACAGGCTATCGATCACTTGATCAGCAAATTCACTTATACGTAGTTATATTTAGAAATTATAGATTTATGCAGCCATCGATCAGCGACGTGCAGTCATCGCTACCTAGTTAAGTGTTGAGTTTTCACCGAGCTTTAGTAAGATTTGCATACTAAGTGATTGTAAGGGCTAAGAATTACTAGGTTACAAACTATATTTGGAAAAGCTGATAAGCCAAAGATCCTTATTTTAAATAGAACTAAAGTTATTGAGGGTTTGAAGTATTCTTTTTCATCTTTGGTTTATAAGAGATTAAAGTATATATCAAATAAACGCTCATGAAATTTATAGATATAGATAAATAGCACCCACTTGAGGAATAATAACAAAATTCCTGGCTTAACGGGGCAATTTAATCTAATTTGTAAAATTCCTTTACTCACCTCAACTAGGCTGGCTAGAAATGTGACTTTGCGGTTCTTCTTGAGCCTCATGGTGCTGACTTGGCCCGAGTTATTGCTGCTATTGTTACTGCTGTTGAAGTGGCCCAGGATCGATGGAGTGCCGACTGAATTGAGATGGCTGCTGCCGGGCGATTTGAACAAAGTTTCGTTGATGGCGTTCAGGTGGAATGCAAACTGGGCGGCGGCTGATGAATGCGATGCCGTTGCAGAGACCGCTGATGATGGTCCAATGGCCGCAGATGGGGGCAGAGCGGGCGGCAGCATAAATTTCGTGGCAGACAGATCTGTTTTACAAATCGCCAATTCCATATTGCGCAGGCATCTAGAGGGAGGAGAAAACGAAACAATAAAACAAATAATTAACCGGCTGCTCAATAAACAAATCATTGCAATTATTACTGGGGCTGGGTGTGAGGTGTTTTAATTATCGCCCAATTATTGGCTTGTTCCCCCGCTTTATTAGACCTTGTTGGCACCTCCCATTCTGGCGTTCACACCTCTTTCATGGCTCAATCCTACTCTATTGACTCAAGGAATTATGACACTTTTTCCCCGACAGTCAGTCAGTGCAAGATCAAAAGTGTCCGCCACCTTTAAAGCAGCCCACAACAAAAGGAGCCGACGCGGCAGTTTGCATACGAGCACGCTTTTATTTTGTTTACTCAGCATCCATCATATGTGGATATGGAGGATAGACATAAGACATAGACCCAAGTCAAAGGGTTTCAATTTTCTAAATATATTTCTAATGGGTTTCGTTCTCTTTCTAGTTCTCAAATATTTGCCCTGGCCAAGCAGCCGTTGATGATCATGGAGCGATGTGATGTGAGTTTCAAAGAAAACACGAAAAGTTACTTTGAAGTGTCGCCACAAAGAGATCGGGCAGGAAGATCACACAGATTTTTAAGGTTGCTTCCCTGAATGTTGCCCAATTAGTTTATTTAGTCCCTATGCTTTGAAAGGAAATGCGACCACTTCCCTAATTGCATTTGCAGTTTTCTTCAAAAAGTAGTTTAATTCTTTAAATATAAGTCTTTAACGAAACTCCTCCTTTTAACTATTACTTGAATTCTAATTTATGTTTAAGAGCTTTGCTTTATTACGAACCACAATCAAATCCAAAAACGCATAATAAATAATCTTAGGAAATGTTATAAGCGGAAGTGAGCTAGATAAGCCGCGGAAAAGAGAAGAGAGTTCAGCAGCAGTTGAAGAAATCCCAAAGTCCTCATATCCCAAAGGCCCCCATATCCCCACACTTGCAGAGCCAGTAGCCAATATAAATAAAACGGCCCCGCGATAATGTCCAGCAATTACGACTTAAATATTATGTTTACATTAAATGTACTTTGTGTGATAAAAGCTATTTCGAGATAAATAAAGAGAAAAAACTTTAACCTAAAAAGCAGCTGCACAAAAAAAACGATAGTCTAGATGTTTAGTCTGAACTAAGAGCCTTAAATGAGTTTTTAAATGAAATCGCTCATCAAGAAGAATCAAAGTTAAAACGTCTTCTAATACTTACTTCTACTACAAAAAAATACATCTTCCAATAAAGTTGCAAACAAAATATTATTTACTTTGATTTAAAATCCAATCGATTGGTTGATTTTGGAAATTCACTTATAAACGCAAATAAATTTTTCTTCAAGTCAATCTAACAATTTTTGGCACCTGAACAATTTGATAACATTTTTTTAAACTACTCATATAAAAAATTCATTTAATCAACATAACACTCTTTAAGAAGAATGTGTTTTAAAAATAGACTTTGTGGCCTATTATTAGTTAAGGTACAGTATTCAAGTATTATTACTCGTTACGGTAAACGCCCCCACGTCACTATAAATATATGTATATATTTGAGAGACATCTGAGGAGTATCTTTGGGCACTGGCTGTCTAATTAGATACGTTATGCAAATGTGTAGATACTGTCGTCGCATCGGTGACGATTCCGCCGCGATCCGACTCCCTCTCTCTCGGTCTTTGGCACTCGGTGAGTGTGTGGCCAACGGTTATCTAGCCGCCTTATCAGCCCATGTACATACACATATGTAAATCTGAAGTCTATATACATGTGAGTATGGATTGAAGAAACTTCGCCATATTCACAATGATCTAACTGAATAAAAAACAAGAAAGGAAAGCTAACTTCGGGCGGAGCCGAAGTTGATATACCCTTGCAGAATACTCTGTAAATTATATTTTCCAAAATTATTCATATGATGCATTCTTAATACTCATAAAAAATCCCAACTTCGTAACTTTAAAAACACCAAAGTTATGGCATTTCCGATCAATCAGTTATATGGCAGCTATAGGATATAGTCGGTCGATCCTTATGAAGTTTGGTAGGTCGGATTGATTGGCCAAAAATAAAACCCATAGAAAATCCCAACTTCCTAACTTTACAAACACCAAAGTTATGGCATTTCCGATCAATCAGTTATATGGAAGCTATAGGATATAGTCGGCCGATCTTTATAAAATTTGGTACGTCAAATTGAATGGCCAAATACAAAACACATAGAAAATCCCAACTTTCTAACTTTACAAACACCAAAGTTGTGGCATTTCCGATCGTTCAGTTATATGGCAGCTATACTATATAGTCGGCCGATCCTTATAAAATTTGGTACGTCAAATTGATTGGCCAAATGTAAAACCCATAGAAAATCCCAACTTCCTAACTTTAAAAATACCAAAGTTATGGCATTTCCGATCGTTCAGTTATATGGCAGCTATAGGATATAGTCGGCCGATCCCGGCCGTTCCGACTTATATACTGCGTGCAAAGGAAAGAAGGGTGTGTGCAAAGTTTCAATTCGATAGCTTTAAAACTGAGAGACTAGTTTGCGTAGAAACAGACAGACGGACAGACGGACAGACAGACGGACAGACGGACAGACGGACAGACGGACAGACGGACATGGCTATATCAACTCAGGAGGTGATCCTGATCAAGAATATATATACTTTATAGGGTCGGAGATGTCTCCTTCACTGCGTTGCACACTTTTGACCAAAATTATAATACCCTCTGCAAGGGTATAATAACAGAAGAAAAAGGGGAAACCCGATTATCGTTGACTAAACGAAGGTTTTAACACACTTCCTTATTTTATTAGGGTCCTAATCGATTTTGGAATCAAACGTGAGTTATAATTATATGGATAAGGTTACATTTTATCTTTGTTATATTATTTTAAATACAATTGTATTACTTTTTTTAAGAACCAAAGATCTAAGAATTAATTCAAAAAACCTATAATATTCCCTTGAACGGACGACTGATAGTCAATCTGCGGTCGAAGGAAGAATACCCCTTTTCCTAGGGCAACATCACCATGAAAACTGTTGCATAAATTTCAGCTTTTGCTTTTGCGAAATCAATTTCGATTTGATTTGCTGATTTTTGTCCGTGGTCGTTGCTGACCAACTGAAACGCCCCAGCTGGGCACAGTTATATATGCACGTCCACAAAAAAAAGATATAAATATATTTTTGTGTATACGGATCAAGTGAGTGCACTAAAAACGAATTTAAGTTAATCAACATTTAAATGCATAATAAAATCAGCGACTGCAGCCGCGAAATGCTCTGCGCGCTCCACAAAAAGTTGATTTATTTTGCACCACTTAGTTTTGCTACCCGCCCCAGTGCAATCAATTCAATGTAGAACAGCAATAACAGAAACCGCAACATTACTAAATCTGCACACAAACTATATGCATTTTCAGTTGTGGATATATATAGATTGAGACTGCATATGATTTTGAATATGGCAATACTAAGTGCACTTTTCACACGAAAATAATTTATTGACGCATAAAAGTGGCCAAGATAATTGGCAACTTTTGGCAAGTCTAATTGATTTTATGGTTTGCAAAAAGAAAAGAAGAATTTTCTAGAACTCGTAGGAAATGTATTATAACAAAGTTTTTGAATCCAGGAAAAAAATTGTGAATGAATATTTATAAAGAGTTAATGTAGTTTTATTTAAATAAAATATCAAAAATATTTTTAAACAGGGGAAAAGAAATAATAAAAGCTCTAAAAATATCCTTAAAAAATGAATATGCTTATTACCTAAATAAAAAATCTAAGATAATCTCAGTAAACACCTTCAAGTGAATGGTTCGGGGAATCACATCTTTGGCCCCTAAGTGTAGGAGATTAAATTTGCAAATATTTAGTTAATCAATTAAACATAACTTGACGTTTATTCTTATCGATCCGAAATATTTCCATGCGAATTCCCCGTGTTGTTGTGGGTTTTAAAAAATCATTCTTATCAATGTAAATTCCCCATTTACCTATGGAGGAGAGAACTCAGTTCACAAAAGACTGGAAACCAAATGGAAATAATTAATGAGTTTAAGAGTGGCACTCGATTAAATAGTGAGTTCGATTTGCAAACATTCCGAGTGCTGGCAGAGCACCAGAAATCATTCGGCAGGGTGCCAAAAAAGAGTCGCGCAATCGCCAAACTATCTGAACACAAACCTTATCGCCCAGACACGTAGATAACCGAAAAAACAAAGAGAGAAAGGGGCGACAACAAAAAACCACACGAATCGAAAATCGGAGCATATGTTTTCCTTGGAAAAGAGCAAATTTTGGGAGGGCCGGAGTAAGTGGACCAAACGAGTATGTCTGGAGTCCGAGTTTAAGTCTAGAGAAGAGTCTGTGCACAGCAGATGCTTCAAGAACAGATTGTAAACGAATATGATCTTTCGATATGGTGCACACTCCTCGGCCAGACGACGACACCAACAACAACACTAAAGGCAAGAGCAACAGCAACAAATAGGGGTGCAATTTTTCGGTGTGTACGTAACGGTAGAATACATATTTAGTCGCTGTTCTTTTCTTTCCCAGCGACTGGCCCTTTCTTCTTCTTCGCTGGAAAGAAGGGATCTCCGATCCGCCGATGATGATCCTCGGGATGCCTGCCTGTGCACATGTGTTCTATCTTTCGCAGTCGTCCTTCTGCAAGTGTGTGCGTGGAGTATCGGAGTATTGGAGTATCTGTGTGCTGTCTTGTCATGGGATCGATCTTGATCTTGGCCTGTCTGCAGCAGGTTGATACTTTTAGCATCGGTACGGGCGCAGAATCCGAGTTTAACGTGGCATGGGGCAACGAACCAGCCCGAAGATCCACTGAACTGTAATTGTCTGTGGGTATTTATGGAAAAGGATCTTGAACTGGTCTTTTACAAAGAGGGAGAGAGTGGTAGAAAAAGAGAGAGCGGGGAGAGAACTGAGATCAATTATGATCCATCGATCGTCGCACATCAAATTATCAATTATGGCAATTATTTGTTATCATTCCCATGGGTATTTTGTTGCAACTTAAGATTGTTATTTATATGTTGCCTTAAGGATCTTCCTGTTTTCCGGAAAGCTTAAGAAAATAGGAAAGACGTGAACCAAACTCTGTTTAACGATCTTCTCCCATTGAATGATCTATTGCAAACATAAAAATGCGTTAATCTTATAGTATATTAAGGATCGAATGGTTTAAGCGAATCCCATCTCTAAACCATTTAATTAGATTTAAACAATCCTTAAATCCCTTTTCTTGTAATAATTACTTTGATTTAAATCCCATATCAAATAATCCTTTTTAACCTTTTCAGGTAACTAAAAGTATAGACAGGAAAATCCCAATTATGGGTTGTTAAAAACCCCTTTTGGATTTTCCCCGCTCAAAGGTCAAAAGAGTAGCGCTCCCGTATCTTTTTATTGATACTTAATTGTCTAATGCGATCGTTGTTCTACATTCTTGGCCCTAACCAAAGAGTTCACACATTCTCGATTACAGAACTCTTTGGATCGATGGCCCGAAACGCGATTAAGGGGCAGCGAAGCTCATTTGCGGCACCGGAAGCTGTAAAAGGAACAGTAGTAATTTCGATCGTGTTCCCACAAGGGTTGTGGAAGTGCCCCACACAGGCGGATAACACACACACTCAGCTAACTAGCTTGGCTATGAAGAGGTAGAAAACCAATTCAAATTCTGTTGGCCAACAACGAGTTTATAGAGGCAGCAATCCTGAATCGAGGCAAGATCGGCAGATCGCTCGGTAGCCAAACCAGTTTTTTCCTAGATTCATTCAAGAAAGCAGGCAACACCAACACAGAAAGGGTTTACATACACTCGGAATAAAAGTCCAAAGTACCCAAGCTTAAAATAGTAGATGCATTTAAATAAAGAAAGGGTTTGCCAAGTAAAATATAAATATTTGACCACAATTTCAGATCAACATGAATTTACGAATTCAACGAAAGAACCAGTTGGTATGCGGTAGCATACAAGACAATTTGTTTAAGAAAATAATTTTTCAATAACTAATAGTTATAGATTTCCTTAGTTAGTTATTAATGTAAGAAATATATTTCTAAAAACTAGCTGATTTTGGGCATAAAATGTGACTTAAAATAGATTAAAGATTTCCAAAATTTATCTCGATATTTATTCCAAGTGTAGAGAAAATAACAAAAACTAATACTTGAACTACTGTTTTTCAACACTTCACTTCACTTTTCTTACCGGTGCGGGGCAATAAAATAGCGCCCCTCGAGAACGGGAAGGCGGGGGCTTCTGGGTTCTTGATTTTAGGGTTCTGGATTCTGGATTCCGTCTTTCGGTTGGGTTTTTATTAGGGTATCCAAATTAATTACAGCTTCAAATTAGGCGCACAATCTTGATGAAGTCGGGAGCACCGATAACTATCTCTCGCGCGCTCTCTCTATCTCTCTCTCACTCTGTAGTACACTAAGGTATATATGTTTTAACCCTCCGGTGGGATCAGCAGGTTGATTAGGGGGAGAGAGAGGGATTACGTGCCGGGACAAAGACAAAACCGAAAGGAACAACTCGAGAAGAGAGACGGGATCGGTTTTAGCTCGGCTTATACTTATAAGACGCGAAACGAAACAAACCGAAAAATAAAAGGCCGACAGATCGCACACACACAATCAAACACTCAGGCACACACGCGATGTTTGAGGAGATTTTTGTGGTTTTATGATGGATTTTGTATATAGATTTTGTTTTCCTCTGGTTCTTAACCTTTTTTTTGCTAGATTTTCTGTTTTAGCCTTAATCGTGCGCGCTCAGACTTTTAAGATTTTGCTATTGCACTCACTCACTTTTGTTTTTGCTTGGCTTGCAAAGTATTTAGTATTTGCTTATTTATTTATTTGAATGAATAAATTCAAATCACATTTACCGTTGCGTACTGCACGCTGCCCGAAGGAGAGTGAAACGAGTGGAAAGAGAGCCAAAAACAGACTAACCAGACAAAACAGACTAACCCAAGGCGGCAACAGGCGGCAGCGACGCTGACGTCGGCGCAGACGCAGCGTCGACGTCGACGCCGACGCAATTGTGGGTCGCTCTCTTTCTGTTTTTTCTTTGCTCTCCCAACTGATAACACCGCAGAATATCACAAATAATAATGAAAATCGAGAGTTATTCCATTCCAATATGCTTGTTGTTATAAATATTATTCACTGCTTTATTTGTCAGCAGAGATCACTGAAAAAACGCAAATGGCAATGGCGTGGGCGATAACCTCTCACTCTCTATCGCTCTATCCCACTCTCACTCCCACCAGAGCGTGCATCATGAGCGCAAAAAAAAGAAAAATCAGAATTACATATTTTGAGCAGCAAAAACAAAGTGTTGCTGCGACAAAAAAATAGCAACAAATTAAAAAAAAATCTGCTTGCTCAGAACTGTGTGTAAATGCGAATGTGTAAGTGAGCATGTGTGGGTGCGTGTGCGGGCGATCGTTTTTAGCAAACATTTAAACAGTGTCCAAAAAGTCAAGAATAATTAAATATTCAAAAGGGGGTGCCAAAAAAGCAATTATGTAAATGGATGTTTGTAAGGGTCCGAACCCAAAAATTTATACACTGAAGAAATCCAATTTGTATAATAGGTACCTTTATTTATTTATTTCGTTTAATTCAGAGATTTAATAAGTGATCATGACTAAATTAGTTTAGGTATGCTAACTAAATTACATATGCAGATAAATAGCTTTTGATAAACAAAAATATGGTGTGATGGTTATTTTGGCTCTGGAAATTTCTCAAATAATGTCGATGTCCAAGATTCTAAGAAGCACTATCTATATGAAGTTGGTATATATTTAAATAAATTTAAGGAACAACCAAATAAGAATTCAATTTCGAATTAATTGCAATATTGTGAAAAAGCAAGAGCTTAAGAAAAAATTCCTTTAGGCACACCCCTGAATATAAGTCCACTTGATGGTGATATTTTCCCACCGTGGCCATGACAACCACTGTGCATTCGAAAGCCTCTCTTTCCCTCAAACCAAAAACAAAACAGGTTTATGTGTGCGGACAGTGTGTGCAAAAGAGAAGGAGAGAACCTGTGACTGCGGTGTTTTTTGTATTCTGGCAACGCATTTCGCATAAATTACAAATTACAAAGCATAAATGCAAGTGCAGGGGCGGCAGCAACCACCAGCTGCACCCAGGAAAAGGGCAATAAGATTCGGGATACCGATACCCGATTCCATTCCCGATTTTCCTGGCCAAGGGACCCCAAAAAACCAGCCTTGCATAACGACACACGTGCAACAACAATATGGCTGATTGTCAACCTCTGCTGCAATTTAATTGCTGCAGCTAAGGTAAAGTTAAATAAAAAAGGGCGACAAGTGCTGCAGAGAATTAAAATCTCAATGAGCGCATGCGCACAGCTCTCTCTCTCTCTTACGCTCTTTTGCGCTGCATTTTTACAACTCGTGTAGGATTTTTATGAATGAATGCGCTGGTATGCGTGCATGATTCCAAAGCAGCGGAGAACTAGACAAAATGCAGATTGAAAAAGCGCATAGAACACACATGGCCAACAGGCCAACTCAAGTGGTCAGCAGCTGCCTTCTAAGTGACAACAAAGCATCCATTTAATGCCCATTACATATAATAATAGGAATAGAAATGCTCAAAAAAACCATAAAAGAAATTTGACTTTTCCATCTGCCAAATTTCAATTTGGCATACCTCTAAAAATCTGCATTTAAATTTGTCGCTTTATCGGTGATCAAATTTTTGACCCATTTTCATGTTAGTTATTTTTAAGTATTCCGATGACTTGTAAAAAGGGCACCACCAACTGGACTTCTAGAGTCCATAACTTTACCAAATTTCAACCGATTTCAAAGTGACATACCTCTAAAGACTTGTGGTTCGATTCTCAAAAAATCTGCATTAAAATTTTTTATTAAAATTTTGACCATATAGTTATTTTAAGTTTTCCGATACTTAAAAAGGGCACACCAACGGACTTAAATTCCATAAGTTTACCAAATTCAACCGATTTCAAGTGACATACCTCAAAGACTTGGTTCGATTAAAAATCGCATAAATTCGCATTATCGTTGATCAAATTTTTGACCCATTTTCATGTTCGTCATTTTTGAGTTTTGCGATCACTTGTAAAAAGGGCACCACCAACTGGACTTCCAAATTCCGTAAGTTTACCAAATTTCAATCGATTTCAAAGTGACATACCTCTAAAGACTTGTGGTTCGATTCTCAAAAAATCTGCATTAAAATTTGTCGCATTATCGTTGATCAAATTTTTGACCCATTTTCATGTTCGTCATTTTTGAGTTTTGCGATCACTTGTAAAAAGGGCACCACCAACTGGACTTCCAAATTTCAAAGTTTACCAAATTTCAACCGATTTCAAAGTGACATCTCTAAAGACTTGTGTTCGATTCTCAAAAACATTCAAATTTCGCTTTATGTTGATCAAATTTTAGACCCATTTTCATGTTAGTTATTTTTAAGTTTTCCGATGACTTGTAAAAAGGGCACCACCAACTGGACTTCCAAATTCCATAAGTTTACCAAATTTCAATCGATTTCAAAGTGACATACCTCTAAAGACTTGTGGTTCGATTCTCAAAAAATCTGCATTCAAATTTGTCGCATTATGGGTGATCAAATTTTAGACCCATTTTCATGTTAGTTATTTTTAAGTTTTCCGATGACTTGTAAAAAGGGTACCACCAACTGGACTTCCAAATTTCATAAGTTTACCAAATTTCAACCGATTTCAAAGTGACATTCCTCTAAAGACTTGTGGTTCGATTCTCAAAAAATCTGCATTCAAATTTTCCGCATTATCGTTGATTAAATTTTTGGCCCATTTTCATGTTAGTCATTTTTGAGTTTTCCGATCACTTGTAAAAAGGGCACCACCAACTGGATTTCTAGAGTCCATAACTTTACCAAATTTCAACCGATTTCAAAGTGACATACCTCTAAAGACTTGTGGTTCGATTCTCAAAAAATCTGCATTCAAATTTGTCGCATTATCGTTGATCAAATTTTTGACCCATTATTGAATCCAAACTTTACCAAACTTAACCCAATTCACAGTTTAAGTCTTGCACTTAAAAAAAAATTCCAATTATTTACAAACAGTTAAAAAAATGTTTGTCTTAATGTCTATTGTTTAACAAAAGGTGATAGTTCCGGAAGTTCGTGTTTTTTCCTCACTAAGCTTGATTCTATGGATATATTTAAAAAAATGCATATTGGCGCCAATCATCCATATATTCCAGTGTTAGGCAACCACTGCCTGTAGGTATTTCTCACAACGCGTTAGCATATTTCTGGGACTTTGCAGATTTTTGGCGGCAAATAGTTATTTACATTTATATTATTTATTTTTGCCAAACAGAACGGAAATGGCAGACTTCGGCAAAGGAAAAGTGCTGCAGAATACGGGTAAATTCGTGAGCGAAAACCGAACAGAAGGGTGAGTTTAGAGATTACTAGAAAGTCGAGATATATAAGGTTTTATTCCTGATCTTGTCTTTAGGGACGACTTCTTCAATGAGGCTGGCTATCGTCAATCCCGGGAAAACGACAAAATCGACTCGAAATATGGCTTCGATCGGGTCAAGGATAGTCAGGAGCGGACGGGCTACCTCATCAACATGCACTCGGTGAGTTGGGAATCCTATAAAATCTCGAAGATCATGTTAAATAATAGTTTTTCCCCCTGCAGAACGAGGTATTGGATGAGGATAGAAGACTCATCGCAGCTCTTGATCTCTTTTTCATCCAAATGGATGGTTCCCGCTTCAAATGCACGGTGGCCTATCAGCCGTATTTGCTCGTCCGTCCGGAGGATAATATGCAACTGGAAGTGTCTCGTTTCCTGGGTCGCAAGTATTCCGGGCAGATTTCTAGCCTGGAGCACATCAGCAAAGAGGATCTGGATCTGCCGAATCATCTTTCTGGCTTACAGCAGCAGTACATAAAGCTATCCTTCCTGAATCAAACAGCCATGACCAAAGTTAGGAGGGAACTAATGGCCGCCGTGAGGAGAAACCAGGAGCGCCAGAAATCAAACACCTACTACATGCAAATGCTGGCCACCTCGTTGGCCCAATCCTCTGCAGGTTTCGAGGACGCCACAATGGCCAAAAGGCAGCAGGATTACATGGACTGCATTGTGGACATAAGGGAGCACGATGTTCCCTACCACGTGAGAGTATCCATAGATCTGCGCATTTTCTGCGGTCAATGGTATAATATCAGATGCAGAAGCGGCGTGGAACTGCCCGTCATTACCTGTCGACCGGATATCCTGGACAGACCCGAACCTGTGGTCCTGGCCTTCGACATAGAAACCACAAAGTTGCCCCTCAAGTTTCCCGATGCCCAAACGGATCAGGTTATGATGATCTCCTACATGATCGATGGCCAGGGCTATCTTATAACCAATCGGGAGATTATCTCTTCGAATGTGGATGACTTCGAGTACACCCCCAAGCCGGAATTCGAGGGTAACTTTATAGTTTTCAACGAGGAGAACGAGATGCACTTGCTCCAACGCTTTTTCGATCACATCATGGAGGTGCGACCACACATTATAGTGACATACAATGGTGATTTCTTCGACTGGCCCTTTGTGGAGACCCGTGCTGCAGTCTACGATCTGGATATGAAGCAAGAGATTGGCTTCTCCAAGTTTCGGGAAGGTAACTACCTGAGTCGTCCTTCTATACACATGGATTGCTTGTGCTGGGTGAAGAGAGATTCCTATTTGCCGGTTGGATCTCAAGGCTTAAAGGCAGTGGCCAAGGCTAAATTGCGTTACGATCCCGTGGAACTGGATCCGGAGGACATGTGCCGTATGGCCGTGGAGCAGCCCCAAGTACTGGCCAATTACTCTGTCTCAGATGCCGTGGCCACTTACTATCTGTATATGAAGTATGTG